GGGGTCCAACCCCCCTCTCCTATGTGACCCCCGGTTGGGTCGTCTAGCTAGTAGAAGTGGAGGATNCTATTATCGACTCCGTACGTCGCGAGGGAAGGGATTGCTGTACCCTTCTCCCGATAAAAATACCTCAGGCATGAACCGCAGGAGGGGTCCAACCCCCCTCTCCTATGTGACCCCCGGTTGGGTCGTCTAGCTAGTAGAAGTGGAGGATAGGGGCTAGAGGGGCAAACGACAGAGTCCAATGATGGGAGAAAAACAACAACAACAACACGCGATCAAGAGAAAAACAGGACACACACTCACGAACAGCGGATAGACGCAACACAAACGCGGCGCGCGTGCTGCTGCAGACCCGAAGAGCTGTACGCAGCGCAGAGGCGCACCATGCCTTGTGCGGACGGTGAGCTGTGCCACCAACCAGACAAGACGCCGCAAGCCCCTCATGGCCACGTCTGTCATGGAGGATGTGGCGGGCGGCTCCACGGCAACTGCGGCAGCATGGTTGGCGACATCGAAACAAGGCGAATCTGCTGCTCGTGCGTCGCAAGAGCTGGCAAGCGCAAAGAGATACCAGCTGAGGGTGCTGAGGGTGCTGGGGCGGGACCATCTCAACGCCCGACGAAGAAGAAATTTCTTCCGGCTGCGATGAGGAAGATGAAACGGAAGATGGCGGTGGCGGTGAGAACACGGGGCGCGAGCGCCGTGCTCCACCGGCTTATAGTGAGCTGTCACCTCACTTCGGCGTCCTGGAATCGGCAGCAGATGAGAGTGGCAATGGAGACGCGGCGTTCCATCTGCAGAAAGCAAAAATGGCGATGATCGCAGCGCATGCCGCTAAGCGGGTGCGCCAGGCAGACATGAGAGAGTTTGTCGAGACGTAGTGAAGGCGGCGGGTGTACGTGGTTGTTTTTTTTTCCTTGCAGTCAGCTTCCTATGCGCCTTTCTCGTTTCTTGTTTTTTTTCCCGCAACATCGCAGCGGGTGCGCCGGGCAGTCATAAGGGAGTTTTTCACGACGTTAGCAAGGGTGCTTGATTTTTCTTTGCAGTGACCTTCCTGCATGTTTTTCTCTCTTTTTTACTTGTGTTTTTTTTTCTTGCAACATAGCAGCCGGTGCGGCAGGGGTCAGATAAATTGGCACGACGGAGTGAGGTTGCGCCTGGCTGGTTGTGTGTGTGTTGGTTCTTGCTAAATCGAAGCCAGGTGCGCCAGGGAGACATGAGAGTTTGATCATCACGTAATGATGGCAGGGGCCAGCAGTACATGGTTGCTCGTGTTTTTGCAGTGGGCTTTCTGTCGTATTTTTTGTATACACGCAAGTCTTTTTCTATCACCAACATCGAGGGAAGGCAGGCAACGAGGACTGAGAGTTAGCTTCGTCCACTATTAGATCTAATCCACAATCTCGATCCATTTCGTACTCTGTTGGCCCCGCAAAGCGCGGACGCCACACTCACAACGTGAAGTCGAAGAGTGTCTCAATAGCGCAGAACCTGCACTATTGAGGAATACTCAAAGCCCCAATAGTGCAGAACCTGCACTATCGAGGGCACCCTTTTCAGTAGTGCAGGTGCCTGCTATAGTGCAGGTAAATTCTCACGACAGACCCCTGCACTATATAGGGCCCACTACTGTACTTGGATACTAGATTCGAATGCAGAGTATGTGTGTGTTGGGGTATGCTGTTGAGGGTTCAAGTGCGGGGCCCCTCGTGAGAGCCCGCGCATGCGTGTTGTTCGGGGAGCGGGTCCGTGCTTGGAGAGCACGCGTATGTTTTAATCAAGGTTATATGTCATCGACATCGGTCCTGGGTTGACATAGTCCCCAGACATGCAATATACCGTGGGTGGGCACGGCAACCTCCGTAGGTGGTCACGGAGGCACATATCTACTAACATAACACTATCGTGAAACGAAGAAAAAAGCTCCGGGTGATTATTCCCTCCTGTGTGACCCTGGATGCGTGTACATGTGTAGTTGTACGCAAAAATGCACTGAAAAGTGACGTACTCTGCATTCACTGAAAGAGTGTACTGCAGTACACTACCCCAACGACGGCAAGTGGGAGGAACGTCGGCATAATAGGAAGGACGAAAACACACACACACATAGCGCGGTCGATGTTAATAAACACGCACACACAATGCTTAAAATGCAACACACACAAGCCAGGATCCGCCCTCGAAGACCAAGCTGCACGTGAGGCAAATCACCATGCGGGAATTTTCAACCCGTCTAGATCTAACCTTCTTACTGCAGCATGTTCAACGTACGGTGGTCTTGGCAAACGCTCAAATTTACTTACCGTAGCCATCGCCAACAACCCTATATATGAAGCCTTTCGCAAGCGGAATTTCGACGACGAAACAGCCCTGCTTCGCCTTGAGGCTTTTCATGCCAATGGGATTCGGAGACGGTTTACCTTCGAGCTGGCTCGTTTTCTCTACATGTACGAACTCTTGATGTTTTCAACCGTCATGGACTACGGATTGATCAGTTTCCACCACGGCCAATGGTTTGGGATCTCGGTAGTAGCACAGATAGAAACGACAATTAGGGCAATGAGGGAAAATTGTGTGGCAGCGATGAAGGACGAAGAGAGGGAAAGGGAGGAGGACAAGACAGCGACCAAAACAGCAGTCGAGGAGGATACAGTGGTGGTGAGAGAGCAAGAGCTTTGAGCCAGATGACCTCCCCCACCAAAAACAACACAGGCCCAGAGAAAAATGTCGAAACGTTCCTGTCAAAACGATATGAGGACGATAGGATAGTAGGTTAGGAGTGATACTGATTACAGCAATGGAGTTTAGTCTTTCTTGTGTGTAGCGTATCATCGAGGCAAATGAACAGGCGGCGGTCAGCACAGCAGTATGTAGAGTTGCAGTCAGAGTGGGTATAATCCGTGCACAACAACTAGTCCAATTACGTTTTGTGCGATAACTTCGTATGGAAAGAGAATTGGAACGTGAAACAACGATAGTCGTGACCACCTCGTCGAGATACGTCGATAGCTGCAGAGTTTTTTTTTTTGTGGCGATTGCAACATTTTTGGCGGAAATCATACACGGAGCCCCCCAAACACGACATCCCCCTATGCATTCACGAAACCCCCTAACCGTGCCCCCGAAGAGCCCTCTTGCCCTCTACCACCTGCTCTGAATACACCATGACACTCCCTGTTTGCATCTGTACAGATACTAAACCACGCTTGCTCGACAACATCCTCGACGCGACAGCATGCAATATTCCGAACCTGCACGCAACATCGAAACATTTCTGAAATAGGATAGGATGACGCGCGACTTGGGGGCAAAAAAATCTTTTACTCCTACGACCTACGGCACAATAAAGACAAGAGCATTAAATTTACAATCACAGGTCTTCAGTCGCTGTCTTCATCGCTGTCATCGCTTTCGTCGCTACCGCCGCCGTTGTTGGCATCTGCGGCGCTTCCCTCCTCTTCTGAGCTACTTTGGACCCTGCCCCTGTTGTACTTGAGCAGTGCGGAAGCGCAAATACGGTCGCTGTACACGCTCTCTTGTCGTTCATTAAAGCAACACCGCAGGATGGAAAACACTCGTTCCATGAACGCAGAGGATGGTTGCAAAAGGGCAACGTCCAACAGCAAGGCGTGCCACGTAGGGCGCTTTGTCTTGTTGTCGTTCCAGAACGCCATGTGGCCGTACTCGGCGTCTGTGTCACTGGCCGCCATGTAGTAGTCTTTCTTCTCCTTTAAAAGCCCCCTGACTATTTGCTCTTGACGAACGGGAGCACCTTGAGGCTGCGAATGGCGTCATCGGTGAACTTCCTGCCTTTCATGAATACGTAGTCCGTGAGCTTCGCGGCCTTGAACATCTCCAAGGCCTTGGCATCCCTCGCTTGGGAGTGGCGTCCGATCCTGTCGTGTGCGTACTGGCGAAGGGTGCCCAAGTAGTCCTGCATTTCAGCCTCGAGCAAGCTTGCAGATGCCCCCTTCACACGCAACACTCAACGAAAATAGCCGACAACCAAGGAGGAATCGGAGAGGACGGGGGGAGGGTGTGCCAAGGTTTCAACTTTGTTGAAACACGCGCGGATCACTAGCGGACAATCCTCACACATGTACCACACGATGTGAGTATCTTTGTGTTGCCGTTTTCAATTTACACAATCTAGAGTCTACACTATATTATCTCGCAGGCCGCAGTCCGTAGTTGAGCTCACCAGGTCGTCTCCTTGGTCGACTAGTTTAGCGACAACAGCAGCGACGGTGGGCAAGGAGACATCCGTTGAGGAAACACCATCTAGAGCCCCTTCGAGCTTGCTGCGGAACCGCTCCACGATGTTGTACGTCTTGTGCGCCTGTCATCGTGAGAAAGCGGCACCCGAGAGCGGCGAAATGTAACAAGAGGCGAAATGCTTATACTGAAAAAGAGATGAAGCAGCGAAAGAATTACCACCGAAGAAAAATGAAGCTCGAAATGTCTACTTCCCGCAAATATTGCACGCGCCCTATTTACACGTACCAATGGCTCGTCGCCCTCCAGGACGATAGACTAGTTGCTGAAGTCACGGAACGGCCGACGTCCACCATCAAGGCCAGCTGCAACTGAAGGAATAAGCTCTGGGGGTTTTTGTCGTCGCGAAATTGCACTAGCTCGTCCCTCATGAACTTGGCTGCCTTGCTCTTGTCCGTGTCTCCGTTCTCGTAGGCGGCGATAAACTCCAACACTCCAGGCCAGTTCATGGCGATAATGTAGTCCCGATCGAATCTAGAGCCCCACCGGTGCCCAGGCGTCGATGGGGCGCGGACTCCGACTTTCTCTTTGAAAAGCGCCTTCGATCCAGCGCTGTGCGAGAGTAGGGTATGCATCTTGCCAAGGAACGTGTCCAACTCCTGGGTGCTCAGCTGCTTGCCGATGTTATTGAATGTGTGGGACAAGCAGCCGATGACGATCGCGTATCTGGACAACTTCGCCAGCGCGTCCATGGCTAAAAGGTTTGCCGCGCCGCTGTCACCGATGATGGCTTGGCACTTGTTGGGGTCGAGGCTGTACTCATGGGTGACGATGCGGTTGACCTCACCGGCAATGTCATCCGCCGTCATGCTCTTCTTCAGCATGCTCAACCGCAGAACACGCTGTGCCGCCTGTCGACATGAGGTCGAAACAAAGACGCGACGGGAAAGGGGGCACAGGAACTGGGTGGTGTCGTGGGGTCTGCAAAACTACCTACCATGTGGATTGTGGTGCTGTTTTCACGTCGAAATCGATACCGTCGGACTCTGGCATGCTGGCATGATGAAGAACCTCCGGGGACGAGCGCCAACAGAAACATTTTAATTACTTGTCCACTTGCGTCGATGAATCGAACCCCAACCCCGAAGCACTCGCAGAGGTAAGGAAAAGCATCAAAGCACAGCGCGTAGGGTCGGTCGCCAATCTCATCGCGTATCTTGGCTTGCTGTTCCCGAAAATGACAACGAAACAGCAGGACAGCAGGACACAAGTGTTTGAGTATGAAGTTTATAGCTCAGATTTTAAAGTTGCACTCGTCCACGCTACCGTGTTGCAAAACAAACACCCCAGGCATAGCGGCAAAGCGCTCCTTCGTATTTTTTCAACTATAACTTTCCTCACCTCCTCCTCTAGGATCAATGGTATGTGCTCAGCCAGATGCCCGGCGCTTGGCAAGTCCACGTCGAGGTGCGCGAGGAACGCCCCGAACACAGGGTTGCCCAGCGCGTTCAGCGGAACACCGGCCGCCAAATAACCTTTCACCGCCTTGATCTGTGTGAGCTTGTCCTTTTCGGCCTCGGAGCGCTTGGTAAACGCGCGGAGTGTCCCCTGTAGCGCAGAAACAAACACGTACAGACGACCGAAAGCGCAGTCCCATCGTTAGGTTGTGGCGTGTGGGATTGCACAATCTACATTCTCGAGGACAAAGGGACAAGGGGACGCAGCGACGCAGCAAATGTAAACCGCAGTGGTGTGTTGATAAAACTGCCAAGCGTATCCATTTAAATTTCGTATACCTTTTTTTGTGGGTAAGTTAGCCTGTGGCCACGAGAATGGACCCCGTCAAGTGCTAGACTAGTACGGACAGAAGAAGGTACTTGGCAGAGAGAACGGTTTTTGATGTAAATACAAAAACAATAACAACAAACTGCACCACCCAACGAACACAAGCTCACTTTATCATCTTCCTCCGTGTCCAGCATCATTGCCACTCTTTTCTGGTGCTTCTTCCCGTCGATGTGGTCCTTCACGCGGTAACTGTGCAGAGCGATGATCTTGCCGAAGCACGCACGGCAGGCCAACTTGCCAGCGTCAGCCATGTAGAAGGTTTGGTTCGGGAACTCTTTGATCCGGTCATAAACTGGTACCTGGGCGTCTTTCTTGGGGGTTCTCTTGGCCATGGCTCCCCGACTGGCGAACCTCTTGCCCGCCGCGTTGGCGGCCTTGGCACGTACCCCCCTCCGTTTGGCCAGGCTGACGACCGCACGGTCTCTCTCGATGCTCTCCTCTCGCTCCGGCGCAGCAGGGTTGTTCGCGATCTCCTCCACCCGCTTCGCACGTTTGTCGGCAGACCGCTTCTCACTGTTCTCGCGCGCTTTCTCTTGGATGCGTTTGTCGCGTCTTGGGACCAAGCCATCAGACCGTTTCGTACCTCCGGCGGCATCGATTTTGAAATTTTCGGCGGAAGTGGTGCCACCAACGCTGTGTTCGCGTTTAGAGGCACTACTGCTAGAAGAGCTGAACCACCAGAAGAGACCCGCGGCGAAGCGCTTGCACCGGAAGCAGATGGTGCGGCTCTGCCGCTGCCGCTGCCGCTGCTGCCGCTGCCGTCGCTCCGCTGCCGCTGTCGCCCCTGGTGGCAGCCGCGGCTTGTCTTTTGGCGGACAAATTGCACCTCATTGTCCGAATCCCCTTCGCTTTCACTGCTATTATCCCACCTACTTTTAGAGTAGGCTTCCATACCGCTAAGAGGCGACGACATAGCACTGCCGTTCAGCCATGTGTGAAGCTGTGCAGCTGGTATAGAGCTACGAAGAAGGTACAGGGGGCACCGTAAATTTAATCGGCGACAATCGGCGGCAATCGGCGACATCTATTTTCGATTCGGCGAAGCCCCCTTCAGAATCGGCGACTTTTTTTTTTCCCGGCGATTTGTTTTACAGCTGTTTTCGGTGACATTTTTCAGAAATCGGTGTTTTTGGCGATCGCTGGCGGGGGAAGGGCCTAGAAATTGCTGACTTCTCGACAGCACTAGGCCTGTGCTCCATAGGTGATCACCGAAAATCACCGAATTTTGAAAACTTCACCGAAAAAAGCGAGGAATTTGAATCACCGAGAAAATAGTGGCCGATCACCGAAAACGGGGGGCGCCTCACCGAATTTCACCGTTTTTTTTAGGGGGCTCCGTGTATACATGCCGTACCCCCTAAATCCTAGGAGATACCCCCCTCGAGCGCAGCAGCGCAGCAGCACAACAGCACAGCAGCACACAGCGTATACAACCCAAGCGCCGCGCTGCAGACACCACACACGGTACACAGTACGGACACACTTTGTGGTATAGATGAGCGGTCTCCTCGGAGTAGCGCTGTACTCCAGCGGTAGTGATCGCGAAGATTCCGAATGTGAGCTTGCGGCGGCGACGGCGGCTCCAGCGGCGGCGGCGGCGGCGGCGGCGGCGGCTACTGCTAGTATCCCACAATCTGCATCTGCTGCTTGGGTGGCTAACCGCCATCGTGTCGGATTTCGTCGTGCTGCCATTCGTAGCACCTCGACCGCCCAAGGTGACAGTGACCGTCGTAATGGAGCCGGTGCTGCTGGCGTCCCCGCGCCTGGCCGGGATGTCAGAGCTCGTGTTGCCGTTCCTACCACCTCGGCCGCCCAAGGTGACAGTGACCGTCGCCATGGAGCCGGTGCTTCTAGCGTCCCCGCGCCAGGCAAAGGGACCTTACTGGCGTGGGTCCAAATAGATGGCGCTGCAGCCCAAAAAAGAGCCAACTCTAGTGCGAAACGAGCTCAGGAGAAACGGCAGAAGAGAGTAGAAATTATCGCCGACACCCTTCCTGTACCCGAGCGGGAGGAGCGCATCAACCAACGGCGCGCAGCCGTCTCCAACAGCAGCAGGAGGGGAGAATTCGCCGAGAGGGCGCAATCTTCGGGCCGCAGTTTGACACCGCGTGGACCGAAGCGCGGGCAGATCCCCAAGAAAGACGCCCAAGTGTCCGTATATCAACGGATTCAAGAATTCCCCAACCAGTCTCTGTACGTGATCGACACCGGCGTCATGGGGTGTCGCGCGTGCCATGGCAAGATCGTCTCACTGCACAAGGACCGAACAAAGACCCACTGCAAGGGGAAGAAGCACGTACTCAATGTGAAGAAGCTGTTCCAAACCAAGGAAGAGGACAAAGTGAGAAACTGTTTAATACCACGTAAAAGTAGTCGTTTGCAATTGGTTGGTACGCTGCTGTTTCTCGGGGTATGGGTGTGACTGTGCTTTCTGACAAATACACTGTGTTCGCAGCTTGTGGTTGCCGAGTGCTGCTGGGTACGTCTCTGCCATGTTTTGCATGGCGCTGTTCCCTTCGACAGCTTGTCGTCAATCGCAGTGATTCATTTTTTCGTACAACCCTGCATCGTCATGCTATCGCTTGCTCGGCTGTTGTTGTTGCACAAGAACACGCTCCACGCGCATGCCGAGGTGTCGGAGGAGTCAGGAGGCATGTACGGAGACGCCCTGAGCGACGAAGCCAAGCTGACGCAGATCAAGGCGGTGAAGGGGTGTTTGGCGGCAGGCATCCCGCTGAACGCGATGGACAACCCGATTTTTCGTTCTTTCCTCAGCCACTGCAATGTGGATTTGCCTCACCGTGCGCACCTGGCAAAATACGTGCCGTTCATCCTGGCGGAGGAGGTGAGGTAGACCTTGCTTTGGATGTACTTCGTGAGTGCGCAGTGAGACATGGCATGTTGAACGCTTCTGCACATCTGCGGTTGCTCAATCCACAACACGGTCGAGTGCAAAACACAGAGCTTCTTGTCCTACCATTGCAACACGTTTTTAGTCATCTCCCGCTGGCACCCCGCCCCGTATTTCTGTGCTTCTTCGTGTTTTATATATGGTGCAACAGCGGAAGAAGCTCCAAGACGAGATCGGCAACCGCCCCTACGCCATCTGCTTCGACGCTACGCCGTGGCTTGCCGAGTGCTTTGGGTTGGGGGTCCGATTCATCGACTCCAGTGGAAAAGTACGTGATGGTCGGCAAAGGGGTATTGCCGTGTTCTCGTCTGCTCTCGCGCTCTCGCGAGATTTGACACCAAGAAATCAACGTAGACCCGAAGTCAATCAGTTTGGCATGACTCATGATTTCACGACGCCAACCTCATCAATCCTTCCTTGCCTCCCCCACCCCCTCTCTCACGCCCGCCTTTCCCATCCTGCATTTTACAGCCGGTGCAGCGTGTTCTGCACTTGAGCATGCTGAAGAAGAGCATGACGGGGGCGGACATCGCGGGCGAGGTTAACCGAATCGTCACCCATCAATTCCGCCTCGACCCCAACAACTGCCGCGCCGTGATGGGTGACAGCTGCGCGGCCAACCTCCTTGCTATGGATTCGCTTCTCCTGGTGTTCAGGTTCGCCGTCGTCATCCCGTGCTTCTCCCACACCTTCAACAACATCGGCAAGCAGCTGGTATGCGAGGAGATCGACGTATTCCTGGGCAAGCTCCACACCCTGCTTTCGCACAGCGCCTTCGCCAAGGACCTGTTCCGCAAGGAAGTCGGGGTACGCGCTCCCGAAACGCCGGGACACCGTTGGGGCTCGAGATTCGAGCGGGACGAAGTGATCGCTGTGAACTGGCCTGGTGTGGGGAAGTTCGTCGAGAAGTACGAGAGCCAGGACGACACCAAAAGCAAGGCGGTGAAGTTCATGAGGGACGACCTGGCGAAACTCAGGGACGATGGCAAGGCCCAGAGCTTGGTGCTCCAGTTGCAGCTGGCTTTGACGGTGGACGTCGGCCGCATCATTACTAGCGCCACAATTTTTCTGGAGGGGGACATGCCGCTGGTACGTATCTATTTGATGCCACCTCTCACCTCTCTCTTCTTTTTGGTTCTCGTTCAGACGGAATGATTCGAAAGCCTCCCCCGGCGATGCATGAAACATGTTCTCGTTTGCGCCTGTCCCCCCCGCTCGCCGATATTCTCAGGCGCACAAGACGTACAACGTTATTGAACGAGTCCGCAACAAGCTCGAGCTGCCCGAGGATGGAATCTTCTCTGAGGACGTGCCGCTGCCCAACGTCGCTGCACTTGTCGCGAAGGAGGTCGGCCAAGGCGATGACATGGTATGTATGCTGTTGACCGTTATTCACGCTGATGTTTTTGTTTTGTTGTGTGTCGTAGTGTTACCTGCTGTATGTAGTTAAATAGTGTTATATTTTCTTTGAGCATGACAAAAAAAACTAGCAGGTGGTGACATCCCCTCCTCTTGCTGTCGGCGATTTCCCTTTCTTATGCAGGGGGCAACCGCTGACTTGATTCAGAGCGAAATGCAGGACATGCTCGACGCCCTTCGCAGGTACGCACACGAGAGGATCGGCAGCCACTCTGAGGCGAAGCTGGCTGAAACAATGAAGCTCTTCAAAGCCGCAAAGCTCACGGACTTCACGTACATGAAGACTCACAAGTACTCCAACGACGAGATACGCAGCCTCTCGGTATTCCCCTTTGTCGACGATGACATGATGGACGGGCTTCTGAAGGAGAAGAACGACTTCTACGTCGCCGCCACCGACACCGACACTGACTACGACAACATGACTTTCTGGAGCGACAACAAGAAAAATCTCCCTACGTGGCACGAGTTGGTGTTGGATGTTGTTCTTCTGCAGCCGTCGTCAGCTTTCATGGAACGCGTTTTTTCCATCTTGCGGTGTTGCTTTAGTGAACGTCAAGAGTCGGTATACAGCGACCGCATATGCGCTTCCGCACTACTGAAATACAGTAGGGGAAGGGGAAGTAACAGAGGGCTGAGGCAAGCGAGTGAGGATGCCCCGGAAGATGGCGACCTTGACCTGTGATGGATCTTCTTGGTTTGTTTATTGTCTACGTTGTGGGCGAGCCGGGCTCTGGCTGAATGTAGTGCGTAGTGCGTGCCTGTGTACCTATCGTTAGAGTTGAATCGTTTCGGAGGGCATCTATCGGTCTTCTGTCGTTGATGAGCTGATGATCAGATACATGCGTAAAAGAACACCAGAGTTCGTTTTAACGTTTTAACGTGGAGTACTTCCTACGATCCTTGAAGACATCGCCGAAAATCGCCGAAGAACGGTGTCGGCAGCTTCCCAGTACTACACTTCAAAATTATCAACGAAAAGCACCGAAACATATTTTTTTTACTCTCACCTTTTTTTTTATTTGTCGCCGATTTTCACCGAAAAACATTTCAGTGCACCTGGAATAATCACCGATTTTTATTTCGGTAGTCGGAAAAAATCACCGAAAAAAAAAAAAATGTCACCTATGGAGCACAGGCCTAGACAGCACACGCGGCGTATTTTTTTTCGCCGCACTTCCTGCATCGCGACCTGCGGACGCCACCGACCACTTTGCGCAACTCAGGATCGACTGACCTCTACCATTGCTGTGTACGCCGCTGGTATCCTCATCGCACCAGTCCACGTCGTTACCATCATCGCCTGCCGCCGCCTTGCCTTCTTCCTGATCCACGTTCATCAAATCGGCGCTGTCGTGGCCGTCGGAGAGCGCATCACCGGCGACGCGTGACGGAAGATCATGTTGCTGCGCCGGCTTCGGTTTCTTCGGAACCGCTCGGCCATCGGCTCCGCGCTTGCCGATTTTCTTCTTCATCGGCCGTGCCATCGTGCTTGCTTGCTTGCGTGCGTGTCTCGTGGTGTTCGGGCCGCCACGTGTGCCAGTTTGTTGTGGGAGCGTCTTGCCCAACAGCAAAAAAATCTCCGATAGCACGGCACGACAAAATGTGGAATATCTCGAGAAGAAGCAGAGTTTTCCCGGGAAAAACAGAAAATACCCACCTAGAGACTGATGAAAGGTCTCGTTTGCTGCTGTTTATTTTGGAATCAGTTGGTTAGTTATTGTGCTGTAAACGGAACAACTTGACCTTCTAGATCCAGTTTTTCCTGGATATCTCCTTCAATTCCAAGAGTTAGAAAAAATAAAAAAATACCCATCTGCGGAATTCCGAGATCATCTGTCCAAATCCATTGAGTTTTTGTGAATCGGCAGAAGTGTAAGATTGAACGAAGGAAATCTGGGGTTTGTGGCGCGGGACTGAATCGTACAGTGGCAAGCAAACAAGAATTAGCGGGGAAGTTTCTGAGGAGGAAAGGGTTACCAGAAGAGAGGTGTGGTGACGTAGTGGAGTACACTTGTTCTGTGAGACGAAACGGGGAGTTGCTGTAGAGGTTTTACCGCGGTCTATTGTAGACACAAGGCTTTATGTGACCAAACTCCACCCCCTGTAAACGAAACAAGTTTTTGCGGTTTCCCGGAAGTAAAAAGTCAAGGAAAAAAAAAAGAAAACTCTTTGTCACACCCTTCTTCCCCTCGCTCCTCGACGAGCTTTTGCTTAGACATGGGTTGTAGTGAAGGGGGGGGTCTTTCTGGCGAGCAGGGCTAGACTCACCCTCAAGGGATGACCGAAACCTTCTTGCTGCTGCGCATATCCGCCGCGAGGCATGCGCGTGGTGGTGTAGTTGGGTCGGCACTGATGGGGTCAGGCGAAAAAATGTAGATGCGCGGGCCTCTGGCCGTCGGCGTAGGCAGCGATGCCCATCTCATTTTTTGTGCGCGGAGGCAGACACCG